GAAGTTATAGTTCCATGATAAAAAGGTTTGTAATTATTTTTTGATAGCTTCTGTATTCATTTTGCCTTAAACTCTAATCTGAATATTTTTTTCAACGATTGGTTTTATTAAGTTGCATTAAAGTACTCAGAAAATTTTGTGTCAGTTTATGGAATCAATTAAATTAAAAATTGCATTTTACGTTTGCTTTGTTTCTTTAAGCGCATTTTTTAAACGCGCTAATTATCGAGCCGTGGTCAAGTTGTTAAAACAAAGAACTATAGGTTGTCATATAAAGCGTCCTATGCATTGTTATATAAAGCGTCCGATTGCACGCCTCTTATAAGAAGGCCTGTTACATTGTTATTGTTACATTGTTATTGTTGAAAGAAATATTGGGAGTTTATATTAGTCATTGTATTTTGGGAATTTTAATTAGGAGGTAACTAATTTGGAATTCTGCGGTGCTATTAGGCTGGCTTACACCCTGACAACTAAATTATCTTAAATACAGAATTTTCCAAAAACGTGGAAACTAAATTATCTTAAATACAGAATTGCATAACACATAAAATATATAGAATACATAGAAACTGTGTACTTTGAAAGTCTTGTTTGCCATGATAAACTTGCGCTGATTCATCACCCTCCTCATGCTCTGTCATGTCAGATGAATCATCTTTTGAATAAAATAATAATTTAAGTGTTATTTTAGAAAAAAATCTGCAAGCCCAAATGTTTGAAGCCATGGCTACAAAAGTTCATAAAGAATATACAAATAAGTTAACTCACATATAAAATTGATGTCACGATTTGGTTTTTTCTCTCTTATAAGTTTGGAATATTTATTTATATTAGACATTCTATAGCTAAAAAAAATAAATTACACATAAATGTTAATATACAATAAAAATAATGAATTACAAAATATTGTATAACTAGCACAAAATAAATAATTTTGTTTGTTGACCAAAGGGCCATCTATAAAGTATGTACACAAAGCCCCCACCTCCCTAATGCATAAATATTGAAAACATTAAAAAAACAAAAAAAACATTTAGTTTATTTGATTTTTATCTGCACTTAAATAAAAATTTAAATGTAGCTTAATGTACTTATTTAAATCTTAAACTGATATTCAATAACTTGAAAAAATTAAAATCAATTTTAGGAGAGATAGTCAAAACACGTATGTAGGGGAGAACTTGCACCCTTGTTCCGTAGGCACCTTTGATCCTATAGCGTTATCTCCATACTTACATAACTTATTAAAGAGGGCTGATAACCAGCGTGTTATAAATATTGTATCTTCAAAGTTAATTGTCTTTTGGTTAGAGAATAGATCACTATTGAATTTATTTCTAAATAGTTTGATTTTGACAACAAAAAGTAATTTTTTTACTTTTACAAGAAACCTCGCATCTTTAATATTTTTTTAAGTTAAATAATTTTGCTTATGTCATTTTGTAATTTAACTATTCACCTCTTGTATGGTTGCTTTTGGTAAGCTATAGAAGTATCTAATATGACAAAAAAAGAATTTTTGTAAAAATGGAGCAGGTTAGCACCCTTGATCCTAATGCGTTTATGCACCTTTGATCCTATGATTAAAGGTGCATACACACACACACACAAAATGTTTAACTTTTAAAGTAACATGTACAATACGTTTTATGTATTTAAAATATATTTAAAAATATGTTTTTTTCTTCTAAAATAAAGCCTTAAAATGACGATTTTATACTATTTTGTATTTTTTTGTTCTCCTAAAACTTTTATATAATATTTATATTATATAAAACTTTTATATAGTATACACAGTGGCTTCGTAGTTTTATGTTACGTAGGAATGAGTTATCTTTACGAAATCCAGAAGGTACTAGTATGGTACGAGCAACTGTTTTTAAATTTTATACAGTCAGAGAATTTTTCACCAATCTAAAAGATGTTCGTCTATGACACAGGTTTCAGCCACAATACATATATAATGTTGATGAGACAGGTCTCACAACTATTCAAAAGCCAGTTAAAATAATTGCTAAAAATGGAAATAAACAAGTTGGAAGGATAACTTCAGCGGAAAGAGGGACATTGGTAACAATTTGTTGTGCAGTTAATGCAATAGGAAACTTAATCCCTCCATTTTTTATTTTTCAAAGGAAGTATGATAAATGGTGGTCCACCTTGATGTGTTGGGGTTGCAAACCAATTTGGTTGGATGAATGTTGCAACGTTTTTAGAGTAGATGAAACATTTTATTCAAAATGTGAAATATTCACTAGCTAATCCAGTGCTTTTACTTCTTGACAACCACGAGAACCATGTTTCAATTGTGTGTTTAGATTTAGTTAAAGAAAATAGCCAAACTATGCTGTCCTTTCCACCACATTGTAGTCACAAGTTGCAGCCATTAGATTGGTCAGTTTATTGGCCACTAAAACGTTATTACAATGCAGCCTGTGATAATTGGATTGTATCTAATCCAAGACCAATGACCATATATGGTACAGCTTCAAAATAAGATCTTCATGACAAGGAAAAGAAATCTTGAAAGTAATGAAAATAAAAACGTTGAGTCTCAGTAAAAGATAACATTTTTTTCATTGATTTTTTCTTTTTTTAAGAAAGATAAATTTGTAGTAAAATTAATAATAACTTTATTGGTTTTTATTATAGACATTGTTTTGATGACTTAAAAATTATTCTTATACATTTATGGTATAAATTTGATCTCGAATCAAGTATACATACATAGGATCAAGGGTGCATATAGGTAGGATCAAGGGAGCATACTGGTATGCACCCATGATCTCAATTGAGCGTGCTTAGTTTTTATAATTTTGAATTTACTTAAAATGTTCTGGTAAAAAAATAATTATTGAATTATAATAAGGTATAAAATTTGCTATTATGTACTGTTATTTTAGAGATCAAAATAAAAACATATATTCAGTAAGTTGGCCTGATAGATTTTTAGGATCATGGGTGCATACTCTCCTCTATATATATATATATATATATATATATATATATATATATATATATATATATATATATATATATATATATATATATATATATATATATATATATATATATATATATATATATATATATATATATATATATATATATATATATATATATATATATATATATATATATATATATATATATATATATATATATATATATATATAGAGGAGAGTATGCACCCATGATCCTAAAAATCTATCAGGCCAACTTACTGAATATATGTTTTTATTTTGATCTCTAAAATAACAGTACATAATAGCAAATTTTATACCTTATTATAATTCAATAATTATTTTTTTACCAGAACATTTTAAGTAAATTCAAAATTATAAAAACTAAGCACGCTCAATTGAGATCATGGGTGCATACCAGTATGCTCCCTTGATCCTACCTATATGCACCCTTGATCCTATGTATGTATACTTGATTCGAGATCAAATTTATACCATAAATATCCTTGTCACACTCAGTCGGTGGAGAGGCATATTAAGCTAGTTACAAAAGCTTCCCAAGCGGTTTGCGGTTTGCAGTAAAACGCGACGGATTCATAAGAGCACGTTTGGAATCGAGATCAAAAATGCTGAAACTGGACACTAAAGCACAACATCATTTGTAGCTATAAAAACATGTTTGACTAGAGTTTTCATGTGTTTTTCTTTTCAAATATTTAGTTCTATTTACTTGTAACTTTCGTATAGACTGTTAAAAATGTATACTGCTACACAAATATGTTGTCATATATAAACTCGAAATTTCAAAAAATATTGTTTTTTATTTGAAATATGCCTATAATTCAGGTCAATTGTGGAACCTCAAGATATGCTTTAAATCGTTTGATTATTTGCCACATTACTAATTGCATATGTCAGCAAATTTTTATAGCTATCCAACCAAGATATTCAACAAAATTTTTTTCACTCCACCCTAATATATATATCGCCGTGGATAGCCTACCGAAAGTCGGTAGCGGAAAAATAAAAATTATCCTACCGAAACTTTTTTTTAGTGGTTGATATATATATATATATATATAAATATATATATATATATATATATATATATATATATATATATATATATATATATATATATATATATATATATATATATATATATATATATATATATATATATATATATATATATATATATATATATATATATATATATATATATATATATATATATATATATATATATATATATATAAAATATATATATATATATATATATATATATATATATATATATATATATATATATATTTATATATATATATATATATATCAACCAATAAAAAAAAGTTTCGGTAGGATAATTTTTATTTTTCCGCTACCGACTTTCGGTAGGCTATCCACGGCGATATATATATTAGGGTGGAGTGAAAAAAATTTTGTTGAATATCTTGGTTGGATAGCTATAAAAATTTGCTGACATATGCAATTAGTAATGTGGCAAATAATCAAACGATTTAAAGCATATCTTGAGGTTCCACAATTGACCTGAATTATAGACATATTTCAAATAAAAAACAATATTTTTTGAAATTTCGAGTTTATATATGACAACATATTTGTGTAGCAGTATACATTTTTAACAGTCTATACGAAAGTTACAAGTAAATAGAACTAAATATTTGAAAAGAAAAACACATGAAAACTCTAGTCAAACATGTTTTTATAGCTACAAATGATGTTGTGCTTTAGTGTCCAGTTTCAGCATTTTTGATCTCGATTCCAAACGTGCTCTTATGAATCCGTCGCGTTTTACTGCAAACCGCAAACCGCTTGGGAAGCTTTTGTAACTAGCTTAATATGCCTCTCCACCGACTGAGTGTGACAAGGATAGCGTGCGAAATCCAGTCTTGGTGTATCTTCTTCCCGGATCATGGTTAAAAAAGTATCGTCATCAATGTCCATTACGATTGGAGGCTCTGTGATTGGAGTTTTTTGCCAATCGATCATGTCTATGTAACTGGTAGCTTCAAAATTGATTACTGGCACGCAGAAAGATCTAACTGAACTCGTGCGCTTCTGCTTCCTGGATTTCATTATACGTCTCAGAGCCAACTCGCGTATTTCTGATTTTTCGTCGGTAAGCATCGCAAGCAACAGTTTTCTGGATGAGTAAAAAATGCGTTGCGTTGAATTACTGGATCAACAACTTTCTTCAGCTCGTCTGTGAGGTAGCGTGATTTCAGTGTTGTATTATGGACATGTCAAGCGCCATCTTTACATGAAAAAGTATTTTTTATTTCAAACCATGCTGGTGCATAAACTGTTACGATGAAGGTAACCATTGTCTTCAGTTCATCCGATGGGCATCTTGTGGCGGCCTATCTTTTTTTCTGAAAAGTAAGTAAAATCCTATTTCCGCGAAGCGGAAATAGGATTTTACTTACTTTTCAGAAAAAAATTTTCAATTTTAATATTTTAAATATTTTTTAACTGAAACAGGTTAGTATTAGTTAATAAAAAAAAGTTTTTTTTTAATTTTTTTAAATTTGCTTTTTTAGGTGCGGGATTTTCAGGGGTAAAAAAACCCATGTTTTCACTAAATCTTTAAATTAAATAAGATAATTTTCGAATTTCTTCATTTTTTTTTGCACATTTTCTAATAAATGATACATTTCGTAAATTAAAAACCAAGAAAAGAAAAAAAAAATGTTTGGATCATTGTTTTTGGGTGTCTGTAAAGATTGATCGATTAGACCATGTTACTACAAAGGTAGCCAGTTTTTTATTTTTTTTAAATTTTCTCAAACAAATTGACTTTTTATAAGTGAAATAATATTCTGGCTACCTCTGTAGTAACTTGCTATAAAATCAATTCAAAAGAGGTGGATTTATTAAAAACCGGTTAGTTAGTTTTTGTCAAGAAGAAACTGGATGCGGGCGGAACATTCTTTTCTAGTCTTTGAAAAACATAATTCACATTTTTTAAGGAAAATAGTGGCTTTATCTAATTTAAAGTAAGAAGTATTCAGTTTGTTTTTGTTGAGAAGTTCATCATGAATAAGTTTAAGTTTGGCTCTCATCGCGATTTAGAATTTTTTAAAATTGGTTACTTTTAATCTTAGCAAACTTCTGGCTGATAATTTTCCTCCAAGGCATATTTTCACGAGTAAAAATGTATCTAAATGTGCTAAATTTTTGCAGTCCAAGTTTTTATCACTTTATGTTGATTGCATAAGAAAAGAAAAGTCTGGCTTTTAATTTAATAAAAAAATTTAATGAGTGTGGAAAAAGAAAAAAGTTCTTTCTTACTAAATATAAACATTTTATGGATCAAAATCGACAATGCAAATATCTCTTGTGAGTATAATATATTCTATATTGATTTATTATAAATAAGTAATAAATATTGCATTATAGTATATATATATATATATCTATATATATATATCTATATATATATATATATATATATATATATATATATATATATATATATATATATATATATATATATATATATATATATAACAACAATAACAATATATTCTGAAATAATAGTTTACATTTCATGGTAGTTTACTAATAGTACGAGTACTAATCAAAGGTAAACACCAATTAAATAATAATAGCAATCATATAATAATAATAATAATAATGATAAAAGCAATAATAATAATAGCAATAATAATAATAGTAATAATAATAGCAATGAAGTTAACAACAAGAGTAACAACAATAATAATATTAACAAATATCACATTCATATATTAAACAATTCCAATAAGTAATAATGGCGGTAATAAAAATGCAAATAAAATGTAAGTAATATTAACATCACATATAATAATAATACTAATAACAATAGTAATAATAATCTATTTTAAGCCTAAGATTTTAATTTGCGTATTTTTCTATCAAAAAGTCAAAAAGACGGGTTTTAAATTGTGAAAAAGTGTTGAGGGATTGAAAATGAAAAGGTAAATTATTCCACGATTTTACGCATTGGTTTGTAATAGAATTATCACCGTATTTTACCGAACAGCGATTTGGGATAGATAATTTAAAGTTACTCAAAGATCGAAGGTAATAACGAGAACTTTTTTTAGTGGTAAAAAAATTGGAGAATGACGGAGGGAGGTTTACTTGTTTATGATTCCAGACAAATAGACAATTTAATAGATAAACAAGATCACATAATTTAAGTATTTTTGATAGAAAGTAAAGGATGTCAGAGTTAGAATGATACTGTTGAAAGAATATTATTTTTAAAGCTTTGTTTTGTAGGTTACATAACCTTAAAAAAGCATTAGACTTGCATTGTCCCCAAACCTGACAAGCGTATCTAAGATGAGATCCAAAAATTGCATGGTATATATTAAGTAGTGTTTCATAATTGACATAGTGGCGAATTTTGGCTAGCATCCCATTTGATCTACACAATTTTACTGCTAAGTTTTTAAGATGAGAGGAAAAGGATAGATCTGAGTCAATTTGGATTCCAAGATATTTTAATGAAAGTAAGGGAAAA